GTCAGGCTCCTCAAGGAGCAACCTCTTCGTAAGATCTGAAATGGGTGACACAATTCCTTGTCGAAAGCAGAATATTTTATGTATGCTGAGAATAGAGAGAAAAGTAATTTAATCACATAGAAATCATCAAAGAAGAAATTTCCTGTGAAGAAAAAAAAAAAGAAAAGAAAAATTCTAGCATAACCTTATCAAATATCTCAATGTCATTGAAAAAACTGGATCATATGCATGTAAATGAACTCTTAGAACAGAAGACATTAGTCCAGCAATTTCATATCTCCTCTTCTCTCTCCACTGCACAAGAACAACATTAGTTCTTTCTTAATTTGTGAAATATGAATATACAATAAAGAATTATGTTTAAAAAATGCAACGTTTGCATAAGGTCTTATAATAAATGCAACCAAATTTTGCCACATTCACAGCCTTGAATTTGAAGCCATACCTTATGATCAGTATATATGTTTATTCACGTTCAGAAACTAAGAAGTTACACAAATTAAGCTACACAAATTTCGCATACTTCACTATAAGGAAACTTGTCCATCTTATTTTACCTTTGATGAACAAGTATAAACAAATTTGTAATAAAAAAATAAAAATAAGTCCTATGAAGAAATAGCTGTATACACTTATAACTAACAACCTACCTCATTTGCCACAGGAGAAGTTTGATCATCTTTATCATATATGAAGGCAAGAAGTACATGCTTGAATTCCTCGTAGGCTTCCTTAAACACAGAAGCAGACATCCATCAGAACTCCCAAGTCAACAAACAAAATAACTCACTTTAATAAATTGACTTCTATTAATCCTTTTTTTTTTTTTTTTGATACATCTATAAATTAACAAATATAGAATGTCAGGAACATGGGATTAAATATTTCATGAATTTGGGTATGAAGGGTCAACAATAACTGAGACTGCTAGAAAATCATTCCATTGGAAGCCATGCATCTTCCAATCATAGTATCCCCTTTCAGAAGGTGAAATGATGAATAGTCATGTCCCATGAATAGAATTCAGAATAGAACAAACAGCAAAATTTTATGCCAGGTTAAACTTTACACTGATACAAAGTATCTGAGATTCTGAGATGACATAAAGATATTTGGAACATAAGTTGACACACATGAAGTCAGAGGGCACTCTCATACGGATTACTGAAAACAAGTTAAAAATCTAAATGAAATTTTGAAATCATATGATGGTCTAACCACTTTCTTCCCCAATCTCCATTATCTGTAAGTTAACTAAAGCAATGGAACCTAACATCGAAAGTTGAATTGAGGTCTCTCATGTCATTTCACTGCAACTCTATTTCAAGATCTCTTATCTTGATTGCCAATCCCATCCATAACCTTTTCCATAGCATTTTAATGAAAAAATCAACATGATATTGCACACTTGGACAATAACAGAAGATAATTGGCACAATCCAAATATTAGTATGCTAAGAACCTTATTTTGAGCTAATTTTTCAAAGAAAATCAAAACAGAAAAAAAAAATACATGTTACACTAATACGAGACAAAAATCAACACAACAATACATAAGAGATTGAAGCTGAATAAGTACCGGATAGGCATCAAGAGCACAAGGAGCGAGAGACGTCCTCGTGAAATTAATTGCAGAGTCACGATCCTCTACAGTTCCCCTCCTCAACAGCTCAATAAATTTCTGCGCCACAATAGAGAATGAAAGAAAAGGAAACATAAACAACTTCATTCAAAAAATAAAAATAAAATCGACCGATAACCAAATCCAAAAGAAAAAAAGAAAGGAGAGAATTAGCTAAAAATATAAGAATTAAAGCGTAAATAGTTCCATTTAACTGCATTCCTGCGGGCAACCAAACAGAGGATGAGAAATTGACCTGTTTCTGCAACCGGAAGAGAAGGTGACGATTGTCGAGAATAGAAGGAGCGTGCGTTCGGAGAAGATCGACAGCGGCATCAATGTCACCGGCCTCTACCGACCGCCTGATCTGGCGGATGATCAGTCTGGAATGGTAAGATGAGGAGGAGAAAGATGGAGACGACGGTGGAGACGGGGAGGAGGAGAATGAGTCCTCGATTAAGTTCTCTGATTTGGCGAAATCGATGATTAGAGCGTCGAGGGCTTCCCAGTTGACAGGCGCGGAGTCCATGATGGATTGTTTGGTTCTAGAGAAAACGAGAGAAAATATGTAACCTCTGTTGAGGTTGGTTGGTTTGGTTTCATGGAATTTTGTGAATTAGGAGAAATGGGAAAAGTTCCCTGTGAGCGCAAGCAAGGCGGCGAAGAGAGGTTAAACATTGGAGTCGGGAATTTATAAAACGTGCCACGTGTCCCGTAAGAAGGAGATTTTGTTAACATTATCCGGTTCGTAAAAGGTATTGCCGTCACTGACGTGAACGTGGGGCCCTAGCTGGGAGCCTGGAAGGCTGGAAGGAAAAGGATGAAGTATGTTATGGGTCACGCTGAGTCAATTCTTTCTTTCTTCCTTCTTTTTTTTTCTTTGTTTTTTTAAGGAATTATGGATAAATGCAAAAATTTTCAAATAATTGATACGAATCGAATTTTTTTTTGTTTTTTTAAGGAATTATGGATAAATGCAAAAATTTTCAAATAATTGATACGAATCAAATTTTTGATTAATTAAACGTAAACATCATCACCTATGAATGAACCATTTGACTTAAAAATTCAATTCTATTAAGTCCATTCTTTAGTTAAAATTAAAGAAAGAAAAATATTGTAATTTATATTGCATAATAAAAACAATTAGATTAGATGAGGAGTCTCATATTAAAGGCCTTCTTTATTTAATTATTATTTATGTTTTATAATTTACAAAATAAAAAAAATTAATAATATATTTAATTTTAAAAAAATGGAGAGGACAAAAAAAATTTTATTGATTAAATTATAATATTTAAAAACATTATAATTTAATTATTTAAAAAATCCTTATCTCTCTTGCCGCAATTATCCTCAAACCAAATATAATATAATTTAAAATAGTTAAGTATTAATATTGATAAATTTATTTTAAAAAATATTTTCCTTTTATTTTTTAAAGGATATTTTTTTTAATGAAAATCTACAATTAAGTCCTAACTATTCTTCATTTTTTATTAAAAAAAATTATCAATTTTAACTCATTTTTAAAATTCTTTCAAAAAAAATTAAACTATTACTAACAACCAGAAAGCCAATAAAATAAAAATAAAAAGTCTTTGTGATGGATAAGATTCTGATTCACATGCATATATGGAACTGCAAAAACTCATAAAATAGCAACTGCCTGGAAGTGTACTAGAAAAGAAAACTGAAAGCATGGATTAAACCAAGGAGACCTGGTAAACGGGCGGATTGGATCGAGTTAGGATCGGGTCAGAATAGGTAATGAGTCAAAACGGGTTAGATCAAAACGGGTCACGGATTAATGAAGACAGACCTTAACTCGCCTATCATGGGTCACGGGTCAACCCGTCAGTTGACCCAATTAAATTTTTTTTTTATAATTTGTACCTATTATCATT